AATGTTTCCCTAATGGTGGAATCTAAAACCAGGGGACACTATTTATAAATAAAGGGGATGCCATTTAGGTCCGAGATGAGGAGTAAAGGGTTGTAAAGTAAACTTAAAGGGTTGTAAACCTTTGGAATTCTGTAACAGAGGCCTGTGAAGGCTTAGCCTTTGAGTCTGTTTAAGATAGAGATTGATAGATTCGATTACCAGTGGTGTAGAGGGTTATGGGAATGGGGTGGGTTACAGGCATTGAAGTGTTCAGTTAGGTATGATCTTAATGAATGACAGAGCAAGCGTCATAGAACTATAGAAATTATACAGTGCAGAAGGTGGCATTCAGCCCATTTTGTCCATTCCAACTCAAAGACACCCAGACGCTCTTTCTAATCTCATCTTCCTGAACACAGCCCATAGCCCTACAGTGTACAGCATTTAAGGTGCAGATCCAAGTACTTTTTAAGAGTTTTGGGTCTCAATCCACCATCAATTCAGGCAGCGAATTCCAGTCACCCATGACTCTCTGTGTAAAAATGTTTTTCTTCACATTCTCCCTAATCCGTCTGCCACTTAGTTTGAGTCTATGGCTCCTGGTTTTTGAACTCACTGCCAAAGGAATTTCTCTATTCTATCCCTCACTATTTTGTATACTTCAGTCATGTCACCCCTCAGCTGCCTTTGGTCCAAGGAAAACAGTCCGAACTTCTCCTCATACCTACAATTCTCCAGCCCTGGTACCATTCTAGTAAGTTTTCTCTACACTCTCTCCACAGCAGTTGTGCCCTTCTTGTAATGTAGTGACCAGAACTGCACACAATACTCCAGCTGTAGCCTCACCAATGTCTTATACAATTCCATTATTATAATCCTACTTTTGTACTCTGTAGCTCTGTCAATGAATGAGGGCATTCCACATGCCTTCTTTACAACCTGATTTACCTGTCCTGTTACCGTTAGGGACCTGTGCACTTGCACACCAAGATCGCTCACTTCATCTACCCCTCTCATGATATTCCTGTTTATTGTATATTCCCTTTTACCTGTTTGACCTCACTAAATGCATTACCTCACACTTATTAGAGTTGAACTCCGTCTGCCACTTTCTCGCCCACTCCACCAACTGATCTGTATTGTTTTGGAGCTTACAGCTATCCTGTACACTCTTCATTACACAGCCAATTTGTCATCCGCAAATTTCCTAATCGTGCCCTCTATTTTCACGTCCAAATTGTTAATGCATGTTTGGGGCGGTACGGTGGCTTAGTGGTTAGCACTACTGCCTCACAGCGCCAGAGACCCGCGCTTGATTCCGCCCTCGGGTGACTGTCTGTGTGGAGTTTGCACATTGTTCCCATGTCTACGTGGGTTTCCTCCAGGTGCTCCGGTTTCCTCCCACAGTCCAAAGATGTGCAGGTTCGGTGGATTGGCCATGCTAAATTGCCCGTAGTATTCAGGGATGTGTAGCTTAGGTGTGTTATAGGGAGGTGGGTCTGGGTGGGATGCTCCAAGGGTCAGTGTGGACTTGTTGGGCCGAAGGGCCTGTTTCCGCACTGTAGGGATTTTATGATCTAAATTTTTAAAAAAGCAGGGGTCCCAAATCTGAGCCCTGTGGAAACCACTTGAAATAGCTTTTAATTCACAAGGGCAGCCATGGACCATGCGTTTTGTTTCCTGTTACTAAGCCAACTTTGGAACTACTTTGACACACTACCTTTTATCCTTTGGGCTTTTACTCTTTTGACCAGTGTACCATGTGGGACTTTGTCAAATGCTTTACTAATATCCAAGTATACAACATCCATTGCACTACCCTCATCAATCCTCCCTGTCACTTCCTCAAATAATTCAATCAGACTTGTAAGGCATGAGCTTCCCTTAACAAAGCTATGCCTTTCTATGTCACAGTTCATCTGGTTCCTCAGGATTGATTCTAACAATTTGCCCACCACCGAAGTAAAACTAACTGATCTGTAATTGTTTGGCATTTCCTTTGTACCCTTTTTATAAAACAGAACCACATTTGTACTCCTCTAGTCCTCCTGCACTTCACCTGTGTTAGTGAAGATTGGAAAATAATTCTCAGAGCATTTGCTATTTCCTCCCTGATGTCTTTCAACATCCAATGGAACAATCCGTCCTGTCCTGACGACTTAGCGACTTTCAAGATTTCCAACTCCTCTAACACTTCCTCTCTCGTTATGATTATTTTGTCCAATATTTCACACTGCCCCTCTTGGATTACTTTACCCTAATCTCCCCTTTCCTTTTTGAATACAGAGACAAAAAATCATTTAAATTTCTTCCCATGTTCTCGGCATCTTAACACAAGTGCCCTTCCTCATCTACAACAGGTCCCACTTTTTCCGTAACTATTCTTTTGCTCTTTATATACTGGTAAAACATCTTTGGGTTTTCTTTTATCTTAATTGCTGATCTTTTTCATGTCCTCTCTGACTTCCCTTTTTTTTAAACTTGATTCCTCACTTTCTCTGCTCTGAGGCTATCTGCAGTGTTGAGTTTTTTGTGACTATCACAAGCTTGCTTTGTCTGTTTAATGTTGCCTTGTATTTTTCTAGACAACCATGGAGGGTCTAGATTTGGCAGTATCATTCTTATTTTGGGGGTCTTGTTTCCTTTGCCTCCCACTGTTTACCACAAATTTATTTTTTAGCAGTCCTGTCCAATCACGTCAGCCAAATCACTTAATTTTATAAAATTTGTCTTCCCACACTCAAAGACTTTTACTCCTGATTTATCTGTACTTTTCCATAGTAATACTAAATCTAACCAAATTGTGATCACTATCCCTGATATGGTCAACCTCTGTTATTTCGCACACTTGCCCACCTTCACTCCCCAGAACTAAATCCAGAATTGCATCTTCTCTTTGGACTGGTCACATATTGTTTAAAGAAAGTTCCTGGTCATAGTGCGTGAATGTTTTCACCCTCAATGCCCCTTATGTTCTTTGAAACCCAGTTGATACTGGGATAATTAAAGTCCCATACTATTGTTGCCTCCTACATGCAGAAATTTGTTTCCATGTATGTTCTTCTATTTCCCTGACTTTTGGGGGTCTGTAGTATACTCTTGGCAGTGTGATTGTCCCTCTTTTTATTTCTGAGCTCAACCCATAAAGCCTCATTCAGTATATCATCCCTTCTCACAACTGTGATTAATGCTTCAACCTAGACTGCTACCCCACCCCTTTTTGTCATCCACTGTATCCTGCTGGATATTGCCTTCCATTGGTTTACCACAAATTTATTCTTTAACTGTTCTGTCCAGTGCACCTCAGCCTATCACTTCAGTTTTGTAAAAATTGTCTTCCCCCGTTAAAGACTTTTACTCCTGAATGCTGTCCTTTTCCATAATATACTAAATCCAACCAAATTGTGGTCACTATTTCCGATACGGTCACCCACTTGCCCATCTTCATTTCCCAAAACTTAATCCAGAATTGCATCTCTTCTCATTGGGCTTGTCATGCATCTTGTTTTAAAAAAAATTCCTGGACATAGTACATGAATGTTTCACCCTCAATACCCCTTATATTGTTTGAAATTTGTCTACATGTATGTTTTTCTATCTCCCTGTGACCATTTGGGGATCTGTAGTATACTCCTAATAGTGCGACTGCCCTTTCTTGAATTTCTGAACTCAACCATAAAGCCTCATTTGTTTTCACAACCGTGATTAATTCTTTAGCCGATAACCCTACCATTCCCATCCTTTTTTTGTCTCCCACTCTATCCTCTCTGAAAATTCGATATCCAGAGCTGCCAGTGTTGTCCCTTTAGCCAGGTTCGTCATAGTAATGACATCATGCTGCCATGTGTCTATCTGACCCCTTACTTCATCTGCTTTGTTTGTAATACTCCTTGCATTGAAGTATAAACAGCTCAATCCTGTCAATTTCCTTTGCTGAATGCATTTTAATTGTTTCTTTTGTCTTTGTGTCGCTGACTATATCATAACTAATGCTCTACCTTCTTCTTCCCGAGCTGAATCTGACTCATCTAAACCTTCACTTTGGTTCCCATCCCTCTGCCATAACATTTTAAAACCTCTCCAATGGAACTAGCAAATGTCCCCATGAGGAGATTTGTCCCAGCTCTGTTCAAGTGCAACCTGTCAGGTTTGTAGAGATCCCACCTTCCCCAGAAACCGTCTCAATGCCTCAAGAATCTAACCCCCCTTCCCGTGATAACATTTATCCAGCTACATTCATCTGATTTGACCTCTTATTCCTGCTCTCGCTAGCATGTGACACTGGGAGTAATCCTGAAAAAGACTACATTTGAGGTCCTCTATTTTATCTCCTAACTTCCTGTATTCAGCTTTCAGATCCTAATCCCGAAGGCACCAACTGCATAGGTTAACAATGTGTACCTTGACCACTGGCTGTTCACCCTCCCACTTTAATGTCCTGCAGCTGATGTTACATCCCTGACCCTGGCACCAGGGAGGAAACATACCACCCTGGATTCACAACTGCAGCCACAGAAGCATTTGTCTGTACCCCTTGCTATTGAATCTCCTATCACTAAAGCCCTGCCACTCATTTTCCTCCCCTTCTGTGCAGCAGAGCCACCAGTGATGCCATGAACTTGGCTACTGCTGGATATATCTGAGAAAGCAAAGTGATATATGTTTGAGAGGAATTGACAACAGGGGTCTCCTGCACTTCCATCCTGAGCCTTTTACTTTGTCTTTAGGTCACCATTCCGTTTCTGCCTGTGCAATCCTCACCTGCAATGTGACCAGCTCACTATACGTGCTCTCCACAACATTCTCAGCATTGAAGATGCTTCACAGTGAGTCCGCTCACAGCTCCAAAAAGTGGTCAGCCAGTAGCAGCAGTTGGACACATACTTCTTGCACACGCTGTCAACAAGGACACTGGAAGCATCTTTTATTTCCCACTCTGTGCAAGAGGAACACACCATGGGTCTGAGGTGTCCTGTCATGACATAATAACTAAGAAAAAATACCTTGTATCACTCACTTACCAATTGGCTGATTCCATTTATCACTTTATGAACTGCTCGTACTGAGACTGACTACCACGTTCAGTCTTTCAGCTTCACATACTCCCTTGTCTCCACCAGCTCCTGATTTTCACCCAACTCCAAAGCACTCTCGTTTAGCCAAGCAACACTCTTAGGGCAGTAAGCAGCACTGAGATTGCCTGCTTTGCATTGGCCCCAAAAGCAATGCTTCTAAACTGGATCAAACTAGTTGTTCAGCTAACCATGTTCACTTGAGAGTGACTCAGCAGATTCCTGTTTCAGAAATGTAACAAACTATATCCGGAAGTGTTGCTCGTCATGCTGCTATTGTGTCCCTACCCCTGGACTAGGAGACCCAGGTTAAAGTTCCACTTGCTCCAATGGAAAAGTTTTAGTTAATACAGAACTAATTTAAACTTAAAATTTGCCCTGAAATCAAGTTTAATTACCACATACACCTTTATTAACTGTTTTCACCCAACCCCAAAGCAGTCTCACTTAGCCAAGCAACACTCAGTGCTGCCAATGGGCTGAATAGTTATTCCTCATGTGATCTTGTATTTCTTACCTGCAGTTTCTAAGTATTTATTGCCTCTCCTCTTCTGCACCATCAAGAGTTGGCCATTCAGCCACTCCAGCATAACACAATAACTGGACTTTCCCCTGTACTACTTCACACATGACCTCAAGTCAATCTCCACTCGTGCTCACCAGCTAGAGTGGGATTTGAACCTACAATCTGTGACTTAGTGATGAGTATCCTGCTATAGCTAAAAAAAAAAGACCAAGAATTAGTCAGCTCCGGGATCTGGCCCCAAATTGCCATTACCCCTATTGATGACTCACCTCTGAAAAAAAACCAACAGCAGCCAAAAGCTACCTCCAGGTTAATCTTGTGTATTTACTTCAAGTTATGCTGATTTTCTACAAAGCTCATTAAGGAGCAAAGATACACAAATGCAACAACCAATAGGTGTAAAAGTAGTGCAGTGATTTCTTGAATCAGTCAACTATTTAATTATTGAGCTCTTGCCCAATTTGTCAGTGAAATGGTAGAAGCAATAAACACAAATGGAGGCTAGGGGTAAGGATGAACTGCAAAGTTTGGGGCTTTCCTCACAAAAACCAAAGTGATTAAGGGGTTTTTGAGCATTTAGATTAATTGTTCCACAATGCATCATGTAAGCTTGATTGCAAAACTGAATCCCATAGGATTAGAGCGCTACAGAAATGTCCATGGGGCAGAAAGCATAGAGCACTGTACACAATGGGAGTGGGATCACTGCTCCTTTTGTGATTTATGACTTGGGCATAATTTCAATGTTCATGAATGATGAAAGCCAATTGTATTAAATACTAAAGGATAACAACAAACATCAGAGATGCAGAACTAGACAGACATGTGGCAGATAAAATCAAATACAGAAGCCAGAAATACTGCACACTGGGCAATTCAATAGCAAATGAACCACGGAGCATTGCATCTAATTCTGCTTTGGTGAGAGCAGGAATTTATTTGACTTGTTTCAAAGATACAGCATTAGTTTCGTGGACAGACTGAAATGGTTGGAATTGTTCTTGCAATAAAGAAAACCAAAGACAAGTGTGTTTCAAACCACAAAAAGTTGACAGAACTGAAGCACTAAAAGATGACAGGGCACTGATTTAAAAAACCAGAAACAGCACCAAGAAACTGTTGGCATGCAGAGAGAGATTTGGGTAGAGTAGTCAAAACAAGGTCAAAAGCAAACTTTGCAAGGACTGAATAGTTGATGAAAGATAAAGGTGGAACAACCACAACAAAGTACACAAAGATAACTTGAACAACCAGTGCAGGTTTAATGGTCTCAACTAGCTTCAGTGATAGATGTGGGAAGAATGTTTCCATTTGCCCAACATACCAAAATCAAGGTCATAAATACATGGCGATTAATTAATTTCTATTTCATGGTTCATGGAATGGAGGCGTTTGCTAGCTGGACCAGCATTTGTTGCCTGTAAGGTGGTGATGAACTGCCTCTTGGCACTGTTGCAGTCTAAGTCCTGTAGGAAGATCCACAATGCCATTAGGGAGTGAGTTCCAGGATTTTGACCCAGAGACACTGAAGGAATTCTTTCCCCCCTCCTAATCTGACATCAACTGTTGAATTTATTTCCATGTCGAAAATAAAGGGCCTGCAAAGATCCAAGTAAAGTGGATTGGTAGAACCCATCTGGGGGAGCAGGAGTCCAAGAGACCTCAACCCCAATTTTAACTTGGGTTGCTACTGCAATGTTATGGAGCATGGACAAAGGCAGCCTGAAAGGTCCCATCACAACTTTGGATGACATTGAAGAAAATTCCAACTCTCCAACCTTGTTCACCTGCTGATTTGAGTCCTCTGTCCAAATACAGCAGAACCTGTTACATAGATTGTGGGCAGGATACATATCTTGGTTCAAAAACTGCTAAGAATCCAAGGTTACAGTTACAGTGAGACGAAGGAGATGATTACACCATTGCAGTTGGGAGCAGGAGAGGCCCAAGTCATTTTGTAGGGTCTGGAACAGTATTGATGTTCCGCACAGCCAGGTTAATTTTTACTTTAAGCTAACAATTTCTGACTCTGCCATTATATCTTGTCAGGCATTCATGTTGGATATGATACTAAAGTAACCTGGGTTTTAAACTGACAAAAGGTCCAAATGACAGACCATTAAATCTGTTTTTTCATATGGTCTATCAGAGGCACCGTCCTCAACTTCAAAATCACTGTTAAAATGTAATCATAAAAACATTTGAAATGACTCCTGCAATCAGAATAACCTGGAACAATCCTCACCTTACACCAAGTGCCCATTTTGACCATACAGAAACTTTATTTTGTGAATCATGAAAATGACAACTTGAGCAGAAATGTTCAAACATTTTTGACTAAGGTCAAATCAATTTGTCTCAGAGCTTCAAATCACAACTCTCAACCGTTGCAATACACTTTTGCTACACCATGTTTCTGCTGTTTGCTGAGTTTTGCTTTAGGATTTATCAAAGGACATAGCTATAGGCCCATAAAATTCAATCTCGTCAAAACATAATCTTCAAGGCACAGATCGCTACTAATGTCAGGAGGAAAAAGGATTTAATATCCCAGGCAGGCCTCTACTGGCTACAAAGACACTCTCAATCAAGATTTTTTTTTTTCTTCTCTCCCCAGCAGCCTCTAGGTGATTTTACTAAAGGTCAAAATTACTAAAAGGATGTTAGGGTAGCCAGAAACCGAGTTTCCAGTGGCTGATGCAGCATGTGATTGAAGATTACCATCAACACCCACAGAGAATTTCAGTACAGTGTTGAAGTGCTCCTATGCCCTAGTCATTGACACCCATCTTTTTCTCTAGCATTGCCTGACAATGAAACAGCCTCATTTTTTCCACATGAGAAAGTCTACCCATTTCCACCTCCATAATGTTGCAGACTCATCTTTGCCTCAGCCCTGCAACCACTGAAAACCTCCTTCAAAGCTTGCCACCCAGCTTTATGTTCATCCAGTATTGCTGTGCCTGCTGATTTACATGATGCAGTGTAAAGCATTCTAGTGCAATGAGACAATTGTAAAACAAACTGGTTTATTTACAATGACAGATGAAATAGGACGATGTTCACAGCAAGTTTGTGACATTACAGCTAGTTATTCTACTTTCCATCCAGTGTCTGTCTCCATGTCCAGAGTTCTTTGATGATCTATAAAACAAAAAGAGTTAATATAACAGTACAAGAACAGCCATATAACCTAACTAGCCTACGCTGGGGTTTAATATCCTTCACTAGCATCAGAAATTCCACATCAAGGTCTTCTATTCCTTTCTCCCTCACGATTTATCTGTCACTGCCCTATGGATCCCAATGTCAAACACGACTAACAGGCTACCTGCAATTTTTCCTTTCTTGAGAAAAACAGCCCAGTCTGCTATAACTTCCCTGACAATTAAAACCTCTGGTATTTACTCTTCCTGAAGTAAATGCATTTTGCACTTTCTCCAAACATGCACTCTAGCTGAACCTCGGTTTTACACAGGATTATTGTAACTTCACATTTTGAACTGTATCCCTGTGTGAATCCAGTCTCTTCACTTCTATGGCTTTATTAATTTGCACAGCTACTTAGCTGCCTAAGACTTTAGTTAGGCCACATTCAGAATAATGTGGGCAGTTCTGGTCACCACTCTATAAGGATGATGTGAAGCTTTAGAGAAGGTGCAGAAGAGATAGACACATGAACAGGGGGAATAAAGGGATACGAATCATGTACAGGCAGATGGGATTAGTTTAGAATGGCATTACAATCAGCACGGACATGGTGGGTCAAAGGGCCTGTTTCTGTGCTGTACTGTTCTATGTTCTGTGAATAGATAGACCAGTCTCCATCCCCTTCCATTAAGACTCATTTACTATTTACACACAGACGCAGAACATTTGTTAATTTGATTACAAAGCACTGAAACTAGTGGCCACTAACAATACTGTACAATACTCTGACCTACTGTGGCTACGTGGTAATTCCATCAACTTCCTCAAACCAATACGTTTTTAAAAATCACTTCTGATAATATTTACAGCCAGTGATGTTTTAACTCTAAAGATACTACCTGAACTGAAGATTTACAGCATTTTATGTATTCAAGAGAATTCCATTATCCATAGTATTTCATTTCTGTATCACTATCCCATCTTGTCAAGAATGATTGCCAGATTTCACACAGGTATAAAACTATGAGCAGCAACAGGCAATTCCAGAAACTGGGATAAATGCCCTCTCAGCTGTTCTATAATGTATTCACAAGCTAAGAAGTCAACTCAACAACAGCCAAGAAACATACAGCAAACTGCCAGGTTAACATGGACTGAAAAAATTCATGAACAGTACAGAAGTCAAACACTCACCTTTGGGTCTTCCACCCTGAAGCCATTTTTCACGTAGTTTATAAACTTTGACTCCAGTTTGGGCAGACCAACACCCTGAAAAGAGATGCAAAGTCACGTTTCGCATTCCCACAATACAAAGTCTATAATTTCTATACAAACAACAGCTCACCATTCCTACATTCAATAACCAAAATGATACAGGACAGCAATTGGAAACATTACATCTTAACTGACCACAATATTCCAGAAAACTATTCAGCTCACTGAAGGAGCTACCCCACAATGTTCACTTTTCCTATAACCCTGAAAATGCCTGATGTGTCAGGGCAGTACATTCCTGATCATAACCTGTTGCATTCACAAGAATTCCCTTTCTTTTGATTGTGCTGGTTGCTGAATCTACCAATGGAAAGATCCCCACCCTTTAAAAGATCTTGTTTTGGTCTAGTATCTCAGTTCTTGCTGAACACAGACAGTCACAACGAAGACAGAAGTCAGCATGTTTCCAACCAGTACATATCCAGTGTGTAGACGGAAGAAAGACAGGATCAGTCTTCAGCGTAATGCCACTCCCTCTTAACAGACTCCTGCATCATGAAGAATGGTCATTTGGCTCTATGTTAATGTAAAACAAAACTTTAAAGGAGCCATTTACCCTCGAAAGCAGCAAAGAACACTGACATAGATCACTTGCGTGGTTTCTTATTCTCCATTATAAAGTTTCTGTTACACAGAATCAGATTCCATACTCAAAGCTACCTATGAATGCCAGTGCTTGAGTTGGTGTACGTTAAAGAAACTGCAGCAATTTCCAAAAACTCACTTTTTCCAAGGAGGTCTTCAACTTAGTCTTGATTTCTTCTGTGGTCAGTGGGGCCTTTGGGGTTTTGGGGGTTTTGGGTTTACTGCTGGCTTCTGGAGTCTGGAGGGAAAAGCAAATTATGAGCACTCCACTGTTCCAAGAACAACACTTACTCCATACACCCTTTCTCAACTTTACGCAGCAAACAAATTGCACCAAGTGGCTCAAATACTCCAGAGACCCGCAGCTAATGAGGTCCATTACCGAATTCCTGGTCTGCATTCAGGATAAAGAATGGTGGCAGTTTCACAGTCAAAGAGCAATGCTAATTAAAATTCTTACCATGAACGTGTTTAATCAACTGTTAGTTGACTTTTTTTTGGGGGGGCGCGGTGTGGTTGGGGTTAAGATTTTAGTAGTTGGGCATGATAGTTTCTAGGGCTGTATACTGCTATGGAAGGGTCATTCTACAAGCCACTTGCTTGAACTGATTTATGTAGTTCATAACCTGATATAAGAAAAGTACGGGGCTTGAATTTCATGGTAATCTTTTAATTACCAAGTACTGTTTTTGGAACCTATTGCTTTGAATGAGTATAAGTGGAAAATTGACTTTCTGTCCTAGATTGAAAATGTGATGTGACAGAATTCTTTGTCTTCACAATTGAAAAGGATTACAAGGATTAAATTTTTGTTTTTAGTTAATTGTGTTTTTCTATATTTTCATCTGCAAATTAGACCCTGCACATCGAACAACTGCTATAATGTACAACAGTTTACTAAAAATTAAAGATACCTCAGAGAGAGATACTTGGGGTGTTACGCGAATTGCTGTTGGATATCTGATTTAACTGTCAATAGTGGGGACAATTTCTAGAAATGACAATTTGTTTCTATTTGGAAAAAGAACCACTGAAATTTCCCTTGGCTTGCTTTAATAAACTTCCACACAGCAACCTGGCCATAAGAATATAATGCACTGCTTTTAGACAGAACATACAACCAAGTCTCTGGTGACATAGAATCAAATGAGGCGGCACGGTGGCTCAGTGGTTAGCACTGCTGCCTTACAGCACCGGGGACCCAGGTTCAATTCCACCCTCGGCCGACTGTCCGTGTGGAGTTTGCACATTCTCCCCATGCCTGCGTGGGTTTCCTCCAGGTGCTCCGGTTTCCTCCCACAGTCCAAAGATGTGCAGGTTAGGTTGACTGGCCATACTAAATTGCCCATAGTGTCCAGGGATGTGTAGCTTAGATGGGTTATAGGGGGATGGGTCTGGCTGGGATGCTTCAAGGGTCGGTGTGGACTTGTTGGGCCGAAGGGCTTGTTTCCACACTGTAGGGATTCTACGAACAAAAGCAGCATATGATGTAAATGGAAAGACTGCTCGAAGGTGTTAAAGGGATCTCAGTTCATGAATCACATTAAGTTAGTATGCAGGTCCAACAAACAAGTAGGAAAACAAATAGAAGCTTTTCCGTTATTACAAAAGGGATGGATCATAAAAGGAGAGATATTCTGCTACGTTTGTACAAAGTGCTGTTGAGACCATGAACAAAAACAAAGTTGCTGGAAAAGCTCACCAGGTCTGGCAGTATCTGTGAAGGAAAAAACAGAGTTAACGTTTCGGGACCGGTGACCCTTCCGCAGAACAGATGGTTGAGACCATATCTGGAATACAGTCTTAGTCTCCTTATCTCAGAGCAGTTCAGAAAAGGTTTACTCAACTAATACCTGCAATGGAGAGATTGCCTTATAAGAAAGGGTTGAGACTATATCCATTGGCATTCAGAAGAATAAGTGGTGGTGATCTTTTTGAGAGATACAAGATCCTGACAGGACTTAACAGGATGGATGCTGGAAGATGTTTAAAAATAAAGGATCCCTTACTTAAGGCAGAAAGAAGACTATGTTTTTTTGGAAGTTGTCTTTGAAATTTTCTTCTAAAGAGGAATGAGGTTAGGTCATGGAATTTTTTTTTTTATATAACAACGGGGCAGATAAGATTCTTGATAAGAAAGGAGTTGAAGATTATCAGGACTGGGTGGAAATACCTAGAGAACATACTTGAACTAAATGTTTTGTCTTTTGTCAAGTTGTGGACACAGTCAGATCAACCATGAGCTTACAGAGTTGCGGTGCAGGTTTGAGGAGATGAACAATCTGTTCCTGCTCTTCATTCAAATACTGTACATCTTGATGGCAAAAGATGTACATGTAGGTGATCCTGGGACATTAGGCACAACACTAATTTAACAGCACAAATAGTTCATTCTGCAAATTTTTCTTTTCATTAATATATGGGATCTGGATGTCACAAACAAAGACAGCACTTAGTTACCCTCAAATTCCCTAGAGGTGGTCCTAAGATGCTTTTCTTATCCCATGCAGTCAGTGCAGTATGAACACTCGCACATTGCTGTTAATTAGTTCCAAGAATCTCAGTTACGGTGAAGTTCAGGAATATATTTTCCAATCAGGATGTTGTGCATTTTGGAAAAACTGCAGTGTCCCCATGCATTACCTCTGTTTGAAGAATTCTTTGAAGCAGTCTTGTCAAGTTGCTGCAATCTTATAGATGGGTGTATGCGTGTGCGCACATGCATATCAAAATGAAGAATATGAGTGTGTTGGTGCTGCAGGCAAATGCAAAGACTTTCATCTCATTTCTTACTTAAGGCTTGCAATCATAGTCCTCCTCAAAGCCCAAAAATCTCCACTTTACAAGATACATAGAAGAAGCAATACTCAAACATACAGGAAAAGGTCACTAACCTTGGACTGCTTGATAGCTGGTGTGGATTTGGTGGGTGTTTTGCCATTTTGGTTGGGAGTCCCTTTCAATCCAGGTGTTGCCTTGAGCAGAGTTTTTTGAAGAGGCTGCCAACACAATTGGAAAGATAGGAAGTGGAAAAACTATCTACCATCTACAGTGGTATCACATACAAGTATATGATGTCTTATTAAGACAACAATTCTAACGCACTCTCGGATTTCACCAGCCCTCTTACCACTAATACAGGCAAGACGCCAGTCTGAAATTCTCCCACAATTTTTCACTCATGTCTCTCGAAAACCATTAATCATCCTTGCAAATGGCTCATTTTACAGACCAGGGTGGAATCCTGTCAAACATTGCCCCTGTAAAATACCTTGCAACTAATTTTAATGTTATACGTGCTACATGAAAGCAGGTAGACAGAGTGTAGACCCCAAATGATAATTATGAGCCACTGGACACACTACAGGGACTGTATCACAAGTGGATCCTGCAGTTGCAGCATGCAGTCACAGCGTCTCCTACAGGGAGCGTAAAGTCTGCAAAGGTCTGTCTCTAGCCTCTTTCAACGTAACTGCCATGGTTACCTTTTTTGCCGGGGTGACCGCTTTCTCATCTTCACCTTCCTCGTCATCATCCTCCTCCTCCTCGCTAGAACAAAGAAACTTTCTTCAGTGAGATAGTCACCTCTCTAGTCACATTTTCATTCAGTATACATCTCTTACCCCGGAAGATCTCCCATGTGTTAGCTTCACTGTCACACAAACCTGTTCTAGGTTTGAATCATTGACATTTAGCTACAACTTCTAATATCATGGGTTTTTAATATCATTTAGGTTCTTATGATCAAAACCAACTTATTCAGCTTAAAATAAAGACTACAGCAGATAAATTTCGAAATTCATAGAGACTCGAACTCTGGAGCCTGGACTGCAGATTCCTTCCCAAACTGATATTCTACCACTAGGTTCTTATCGTAGCTTCCGCCAGACCATTTCAGGAACAAGAGGGATCATGCACAAAGGGACTACAAAACTTCCTACGAAAAAACACAATAAGAAACCATGACTTAACACTCACTCGTCATCTTCATCGAAATCTTCCACTTTCATTTTCTTCAGCTGAACAAAAGAGAAATCTTTTAGCATCAAATCATTGTAGCAATTTTTGATGCAGCTACAACACAAGGGACTGGGGAGAAAGAGAAAGCAGGGAAGTGGAAAATAATTGACAAGGAAAGAAAACATTTCTCGACCCGGACACGTAAAATTTGTGTAAAAATTGTCAATGTCCATAAACACCCATCAAACAATGCACAAACACACAAATCGGTGGTGTTAAGCACCAGCTTATTGCACTTCCCTAGGCACCTGTGGTGACATAAGAAGGTGGAATTGAGATAAGAAACACATTAAGAGGCCATGTGACAATCTTGCCATGTCGAACAGCGAGCGCAGCTTTAGTGAAGCCTCTGGCACGTACCTGCATGACTTTGGATGCTGTAGCAGCTGGTCGCTTTACAGCTTGTTTCGGTGTTTTGTCCTCCAGCATGCTGTCATCCTCAACATCAGACTCCAAATCATCATCGTTCAATGCTTAAAAAAAGAATAAAAAGATTAAAGCCATTCTGATCTCCCTTTCAAAGGCTCCCAACTGCCTCAGAAACCGACAACGCAATCCAATCCGAGAAGTCTTTCTTGACAACACAGACTTGCATCAACAAGTTCGCTAGACCTGCTAACTAACTTTCAACCCCTCAAACCCAAGTGTAATTTCAACAATTTGGTGGCAGTGATACTCCACACTTTCTTGGAAATTTAATGCCCACTTACCGATGAGGTGCTGGCCACTGATGTATACAGGACCCGCTCCAGATTTGAGCCTGAATGTCACAGGTGGTGCCATTTCAAATCCTCCCAAACTAACCTGTGTCAAACAGAATTAAAAATTACCACAAAATAAATTGCTTTTGCTGTGCAAACCCACCCATGTACATAAAACACTTGCCATACATACAACTCAAGTTGCTCGAAGAATCGACGCTGTTAAAAAAAACATTTTGTTATCTACACTATAATTTGCTGCGATGGCCTTCAGGACAGGAAGCTCATCAACAGATATCAAAACACTTTGATCTGTTATTAGCAACTCAGCATATGAAAACTGAAGGGCAATTAGATCAAAACTTCAACACAAAACTGGTCCCTCGATGTTGTGCCCAAATGGTCCATGAACAGAAACACCAGCAACACCGTAATAAATGGAGCAATCGTAACAAAACCAATGCATGTCAACACGAGCCACATCTAAATATCAGAAGCTAGAAATCTGAAAATCAAAAATCTCAGCATGTCTGGCAATATCAGTTAACAACAAGTTCAAACAGTAGCAACTGGCTGTTGAGTGAGAAATGGAATGAACAAGGACTGTGTTACTCTAGCTCAGAAACACATTAAGCACATCCTAAGCTAGTAAGTAACTGAAATCCAAGGACGCCCAAATGGCTGGGATAGACATATTTAATCAGTTCAGTTTTCCAGGACACTAACGACAAGAGCACAAAATATTTTTGGGATGCTGTCTGGCAAGATCTCCCAGTTCTGTTCAAAGGATCCTGCCAAGTACAATTCAACTAGTACATTTCCTACTTTATAGCGACAACAACAAAAACAAAATACCAATCCACAAAATACCAGCCACAAAAATTGGGATATGGTGAGGTTGTGAAAGCTGACAGACATACAAATGCAAATTTTCTTTAAGGGCAACCAATTAATTTTTATAAACAATTCCCAGTTTCTTTCAGTAACCTGGTAGGAAACAGAATTCAAATTGTAACCATGACTAACCCTCTCCTGGAGATCCCAATCTAACTTCGACGCATTATTCTTTTTGATCAACAACTGGATACTCACTGTAGGCTGCACCGACAACTTCAAAGCTGCCAAAGTCACCTTTGTGTTCTTGCCTTCAGAGTTTAAGCCTTCTGCTTCGACCAGATGCAAATCATCACTTGCCCCAACACCAAGACAAACCTGTAAAAGGCAAATCAGAGGACACCCATTAAATAAAGCTAAAGACGCTGTCACATCAGAAATCACAAAAGACAAGCATTAATATAAAGCTGTGGTTGCATTGAACACATAGGACTCCTGGGCTGAATATTAAAAAAAACCTCAAAGTTAAAGTTTTGACAAGCATGCCAGAATTCCCCAGCGTTTCAAAATCAACTAGCGTACATACACGACACACCAATACAATTCACACAATCATGAAAGGTAAATGCTCAGAATGTTAAACCTCATAACGTTCATGACCTGCACATTTCCAGTATTATTTGTACACTTCACACTCATCTTCAACATTCAGACTTAGTCATTTGCTTCATTTGCAGTCAATATTTGCTAAGTTTGGGAAAAAAATCTGCCCATCGAGCACGTTTAAACCTTATGACCTTAATTGAAACAAAAACAGAAGTTGCTGGAAAAGCTCAGCAGGTCTAGCAGCACGTGTGTAGAGAAATTAGAGTTAATGTTTCGGGTCCAGCGACCCTTCCTCAGCTCAATTAAAACCCTGCTGTCGTGCTAGGAGAGGTGTGTGGGTTCTGAGCAGCATTCATTTGGTACATTTTTACACACACTTTCCACAGGTCAGAAAAGTGAAAGAAGCATGAAACGCACTCACCGTCCTCAAAGAAAGCTGATGCTCAGAATCATCGTCTTCCACCTCCATCTTGTATTCTTTGTTACCAGCCTTCAGCTCACATCCTGAAGAAGAAAATATCCTTCAGTCAACAAATTCAAGATGTAAAGACATGCAATGTAATGCACTCTTCACAAGCAGACAAGCAGTTTTCAGAGACAGTAGGAACTGCAGATGCTGGAGAATCTGAGATAACAAAGTGTAGAGCTGGATGAACACAGCAGGCCAAGCAGCATCAGAGGAGCAGGAAAGATGATGTTTCGGGCCTAGACCCTTCTTCAGAAATGGGGGAGGGGAAGGGGGTTCTGAAATAAATAGGGAGAGAGGGGGAGGCGGATAGAAGATGGATAGAGGAGAAGATAGGTGGAGAGGAGACAGACAGGTCAAAGAGGCGGGGATGGAGCCAGTAAAGGTGAGTAT